TCACGTTTCAGAATGTCCTGAAAACGCATCAGGATGTAGTATATAGTGGGAAAAGTGTCCTGAATGTGTTTAAAGACGGCTTAGGAAGGTACTTCCTTAAAAAAACCACATTATGTATTTGGGCCTCAATAAAAAAAAGTCTTACTATAGCATGTCGTTTTTGTCAAAAAAGGTCACGAATCAGAATGTCCTGAAAACCTGTCAGGATGTAGTATATAGTGAATATACTTCAATGCATGTCGTAGAAATCACCTCAGGAAAGTCTGAGTGTGTGTGGCGAGTTTGGTGAGTGTGTGAGTATGTTGTGTACCTCAAAAACGCGTTCCTTTGTCCTGAAGAAAGAATAATAATAAACCCTAGCAATTCCAATAGGGTCTTCGCACCCTTTTGGTGCTCGGACCCTAATAAGAATCACAAGGGTTTCAATAGGGTCCTTGCACCGGAGTGCTTGGACCCTAATTGAAATGTATTGGTTTGAAATTCGTGCTGGGGAACACGAAAAAGTCGGGCAAATTGTGTCCCAGGACACGAAACAATAGATTGCATTTTGTGACTATTTTTCGAATTGCCGTGAGACTGGGTTTATGAATACAGAGCTTATAGCAGGTGGAGCACATGGTAGCTGCTGAGCACCGGTGTTTACAGAATGTTAACGTTGGTCAGTTTGGGCGCACACATCTTTACAGTGATCTCTATACAGGGTTCCTACGCAAGTATGGAAAGTATGGAAAAGCATGGAATTAGATTTTTATAAATTTCCAGGTCTTGAAAAGTATGGAAAATGGAAACTATTGTATGGAAAAATATTCATGTTTCTAAGACCATTACTCATCTCATGATTCTGTTTTTCTGCCATTTGAAGTTGAAACTGGATTTTGTGTTTAATTTGCTGCTTTGAGTGAATCATTTATTTACCAGGATGTAACTGAAAATGTAACCAGGAAACAATATATAAATGAAATGTTATTTATTAAATAATATATTTATTATTTATTATATTTAAATCTAATTCTGAATGTCTTTAAAATGTATATTTGCTGAACACGACGTCAGTTGAGGAGGTCTGGACCCAGCCCAAGCTCTCTATGAAGACGAGGAAAAACTCCCCAATTAAGATGGGAAGAAACCTCGGGAAAGGCAATTCAAAGAGAGATCCCCTTTCCACGGATGACTGGGTGGAGCTGCAGGAGAAAAGGAGGAAAAAACACAATCAGCTCCTCTGGTCAGACAGGAAACAGCATGAGAGCAGAATTAAATGTTGATAATCCTCCTGGATGTCTGTGGAAAGTCTAACGTCGTCTTTATACTTTCTACGTCCGAGAATATGCGAGGGTCGGCGTGACGTAAATTTTGGTCACGGACAACTTCTCCTTTCCGCATTGATAATTAGGTAGGGTTTCGTGTGACATAAATTTCGTCACTTAGGAATATTTTTAAAGTTCCTCTTACGGACTTTGGGAGACGACAGTACGACACTTTCTGCGTCTATGAGTACAAACTAGTTCATGTAACTTTGGTCATTTTCCAAAGCTCACAGGAATCCCTGCAGTCTTTGAAAGATAACGGTACGACATACACCTTAAACATCGACGAGTACTTCAGGTTTCGGAATCTTCATGAACTTTTAAAACCCACAAGAGTCTTTTGCAGACTTGAGAAGGTGAAAATACACCTCGCACTTTTGGAAGAAGCAAGTACATAAGAGTAAATTTTGATGACGGTAAGTTTTGTCACTTTAGAAAATGATGAAAGGTGGGTTACATGGACTTCTTGGTACTTGTAGACTCAGACGATGTAAGTTGTGCCATCATCTCCCAAAGTCTGCAACAGTTTGTGCAGACTTCAGGAGAGGACGGTACAACTTGACTTGGTACGACGCACAAACGAGTCCATGCAGTGAAACTTTCACCATTTTACAAATTCCAAAAGAGTCTATGCAGACATGGGAAAACGATAGTAAAACATATACCTTCAACAACAACGAGCACGTAAGAGTTTTTACATTATGTCAATTTTGTCATTTTGAAATTTAGTCTCCCAAAGTTTAGGAGAGTTTGTGCAGCCTTGGAGAGATGAGGATAGATCTTCTGCTGTCCATGTTCTGTCCTTTTCCAAAGCTACACAGTGCAGACTTGGCAATGTAACAGTTGGATGTATACTTTCCTACAAGTGAGTTTGTGTAACGTAAATTTTGCCGTTTTTTGAAGCCTTTGTGAATGTGCGCAGACTTAGGTGATGGTACCACATATACCCTTAACATCTGTGAGTACATAAGGTTTAGTAAGTTTGTGATAAACAGTGACAAATGTGCTTCACTGGTGGAAACTAAGGTCTCTACCTCAGAAATAGAATCCTCCCAGCAGCCTACCTNTATTTATTATATTTAAATCTAATTCTGAATGTCTTTAAAATGTATATTTGCTGAACACGACGTCAGTTGAGGAGGTCTGGACCCAGCCCAAGCTCTCTATGAAGACGAGGAAAAACTCCCCAATTAAGATGGGAAGAAACCTCGGGAAAGGCAATTCAAAGAGAGATCCCCTTTCCACGGATGACTGGGTGGAGCTGCAGGAGAAAAGGAGGAAAAAACACAATCAGCTCCTCTGGTCAGACAGGAAACAGCATGAGAGCAGAATTAAATGTTGATAATCCTCCTGGATGTCTGTGGAAAGTCTAACGTCGTCTTTATACTTTCTACGTCCGAGAATATGCGAGGGTCGGCGTGACGTAAATTTTGGTCACGGACAACTTCTCCTTTCCGCATTGATAATTAGGTAGGGTTTCGTGTGACATAAATTTCGTCACTTAGGAATATTTTTAAAGTTCCTCTTACGGACTTTGGGAGACGACAGTACGACACTTTCTGCGTCTATGAGTACAAACTAGTTCATGTAACTTTGGTCATTTTCCAAAGCTCACAGGAATCCCTGCAGTCTTTGAAAGATAACGGTACGACATACACCTTAAACATCGACGAGTACTTCAGGTTTCGGAATCTTCATGAACTTTTAAAACCCACAAGAGTCTTTTGCAGACTTGAGAAGGTGAAAATACACCTCGCACTTTTGGAAGAAGCAAGTACATAAGAGTAAATTTTGATGACGGTAAGTTTTGTCACTTTAGAAAATGATGAAAGGTGGGTTACATGGACTTCTTGGTACTTGTAGACTCAGACGATGTAAGTTGTGCCATCATCTCCCAAAGTCTGCAACAGTTTGTGCAGACTTCAGGAGAGGACGGTACAACTTGACTTGGTACGACGCACAAACGAGTCCATGCAGTGAAACTTTCACCATTTTACAAATTCCAAAAGAGTCTATGCAGACATGGGAAAACGATAGTAAAACATATACCTTCAACAACAACGAGCACGTAAGAGTTTTTACATTATGTCAATTTTGTCATTTTGAAATTTAGTCTCCCAAAGTTTAGGAGAGTTTGTGCAGCCTTGGAGAGATGAGGATAGATCTTCTGCTGTCCATGTTCTGTCCTTTTCCAAAGCTACACAGTGCAGACTTGGCAATGTAACAGTTGGATGTATACTTTCCTACAAGTGAGTTTGTGTAACGTAAATTTTGCCGTTTTTTGAAGCCTTTGTGAATGTGCGCAGACTTAGGTGATGGTACCACATATACCCTTAACATCTGTGAGTACATAAGGTTTAGTAAGTTTGTGATAAACAGTGACAAATGTGCTTCACTGGTGGAAACTAAGGTCACCACCTCAGAAATAGAATCCTCCCAGCAGCCTACCTCAGCCTCCGCCTCCTCTAGCGAGCGTCCACTGCCATCCTTAGGTAACCAGTCTCTCAAGAACCAGGATCAGCTGTTGGGCCAGGCAGTACTGATCCACCGGTTCTGCTGTTCCAGCCTAAATCCTCAACAGAGCTGTCACTTCTGTGGATTCTGGTTTTGAAACATGAAACACAAGGGAGGGTGAGGGACTGAAGCTCCACAGGAGAACGTTCCCACAAGTTTGGATAACATTACCCAAAGGTTCTAATCGTGTTTTAGTCTAATATTCAAACAACGTTTTGGAAATATTTCATTTTCAGTAATGTTCCTGTAAAGTTACGTTTTTTGACATCAATATTAAGACAATGTAGTCAGGAACATGGACTATATTCTATCATTACAAAGGAGGAACGTTCTTAAAAGTTGTTTATCTAATGTTATTGAGGCTTCAAATGATTTGAATACATTTTTATAAAGTCGTGTTTTACAAATGTATATATATAGTTAATTTTTTAAGTAATTACTGAGACGCTTAGATTTTAGTTTGCGAGAGTTTGTGCAACGTAAATCTCATCATCTTCCAAAGTCAATGTACAGATTTTGGAAGATGATGGTACGACTTTACAATTTCGTTTACGGCGTGACGTAAAACGGACGACAATGGAGGCTTTATCGGCTATGTGATGTTTGGGTGGAGGTGAAGTGTGAGTGTGGTGCTTCTATCTGAGCCATGGATGAAGCAGGAGCTCCGTCAGTGTGGGCCGTTGTTCAGGAATCAAAGTGAAGCACTTCTCTAAGAAATCCTGACAATCTGTTGGGACAGAAGGACGAGAGAGATGAAGGTGACGGCTACATTCCATCAAAGAGCAGCAACAGGTTTGTTGTTCTTACCTTCAGACAGCTCATCGCAGATTTGCACACTATTTCCGAAATACAGTCTGGTTTGGAAATGTTCGTATCTGTGGAGCATGTCGAACAGCACCACCCCAATCTGAAAGACTGTGGCGGGCCCGGCCCGGTACGTTCTCTGGCAGTGCCACTCTGGAGGGGCGTGGTCAGGAGTGCCTGCAGAACAGAGGACAA